ATATGATTGCACTCGACATGAAGTGGGGGAGATTTTATATTCTTAGTAAATAATAAGCTAGTGTTCAAGAATTACGACATACGTGTAAGACTTGTGCCACTAAAATTATTATTATTTCTTTTGTGATGTGGAGTCTGGAAAGACACAACACTTAACTCTACAGAGTGAGTTCTAATAGTATTCAATACAATATTTATTTGTATAAATACAAAACGTGACACAAGGCCAAAACGGGGAATGGAGAAAAAGGACGGACTTCGTCTGTCTTAACTTTAAACGTAGCTAGCCACAAGCACTGACCAGAACAATGCAATCTTACTTACCTTTCTTACTACAGCCACCATAATACCTCATTGTCTCTATAAAATGTCCTAACTAGACTTCACATGTACAAATAATTTTCTGTGAGGGAGGGGAATAAAATTCAAAAATTTCGCCCAAGTAATTATTTACAAAGTTGTACAAAACTATTAGGTTGGTGCAAAAATAACGACGTAATAATGTTGTTTTTTGACGTATTTTTTAACGTCAAAAAACGACATTATTACGTCATTATTTTTGCACCAACCTAATATTGACAGGAAACTAAACAAAATAATGTTAGTAATAAAACCCCCACAGTCCCTAACTGTGGCAGAACAGTCAGTTAAATGGATGAAATCTATGCAGGACTTTAATAATATACAGTGTAATCCGGATATAAGAGAGATTTTCTCTGGTCCCAAATTAGAGCCTGTGTTAATGTATATAAAATAGACCAAACCCGGATATAAGAGAAACCCGGATATAAGAGACTTCTTCTCCGGTCCCGACAACTCTCTTATATCCGGGTTACACTGTAAAAACATTCATTCCTCCAACCACTCATTCAAACATGCACTCAAACATCAGACAACAACAAATACGAAAAAACACACCCGAAGCAAAAGGCGTCCCGCACCCACCAGAGACCTGACGTCACTGACCACCTACCGGGGGAGAGGATGGGGAATTAAATCAAAGAAAAAATAGGGGCAGAAATAAAAGGGGACAATGAGCAAACATCCTCTATCTAAGTTAACCTAAAGAGAGAAAAATAAGGACAAAAAACAAAAAAACTAACTAACCTAAGACTGGGAAGGGTTAACCTATGTTTAACACAGGAAAAGTAGTAGTAACTACTAGACAAGTCACTGTAATAATAGTATCTTCTTTTCTTCTAGACAATTAATCAGAACTACTTATCAAAAATGGATCAGTCAATTCATATTAGTAAGGCGGGTAACTGGCTCTTACCCCAACAATCTCCAAATTTGTTACAATCTAAAAAAAATATTTTCTGGCTGCAATAGGTTTATAAACCGTAGAAAACGACTAATTCAGTAAATCTTCACAAGGAAACGAGTACGTACATACACACTCACATACATTGTATGTGCACACGCGCACATTCAGATCGAGAGATAATCGCATACAAATAAAATTCAATTTACAAACCTCTTATAAAAGGCGGCAAACATCACTACACACCTTTTAATCTTTCTCTTCTACACGTTTACACACGAACGGATAGGGTGATGGACGCTCACTTTTATTATCAATTAGAACACAGGGGCAAGAAAGGCTGCGTTTTCGAACGAGGGGCGGTTGTGGCAATATGAAAAGAAAAACAGCGACGGCTATAAATGGAAAGAGATTTTCGCCGACTAATTTCAAGAGTGATATCGCCATTAGCCAAGCGTGCCACGCAGCGGCTTTGTGTCAACATCCGGTCATGCGCAGTTGTCTTCTATTCTGGAAAAAGTTGACCAAAAAAGCGTAATATAGGGGCGGTCAAGCCGAGGGAAGCAGGCACGAATTCAAGTGTGTTCCCTAACCACTATATTGGTAAAATCTGTGTCTCTCTAGTCCAGTAATTTATGACATCTCACGACCGCGATCGGAGGGAGACGGTCAACTATGACGAATAGAAGGCAAGTCAATAAACGATATTCGTTTCTTTGTCCGCTTGGGGTGAGTGGCAACTTGTGTTCCTGCTTGTTACACTCACTGGTCAAGTAATTCCATATATATATATACATATGTACATATATATACATACATACATATATATATATATATATATATATATATATATATATATATATATATATATATTGTGATAACTGCATATTTCTCGTCCTGACGAATTCCTTCCAAAATATAATCTGATATTTGTTAATTTGGCCAGTATTTGGAAAATTATCCTAGTTTTGTATATATATATATATATATATATATATATATATATATATATATATAGAGAGAGATAGAGAGATAGATAGATAGATAGATATGCAGTGTGCAGTGTTTAGAACGTTGTCATTCCGTCCATGAGACCCTGTTCGAATGTCGCTTTATGTTCGAGGTGATATCTTAATGTTATCGGCCTGGGATCTATATATATATATATATATATATATTAATTAAAATTTACGTTTCGTATAGATGTTTAAAACAAATATATATATATATATATATATATATATATATATATATATATATATATATATATATATATACACATACGGGTGTAACATCAGAATTGTTCATCCCACAAAAGGTTTAATATCTAAAAATCACTAAACTAATTGAGTTTCTTTTTCCCATGTTTTCAGATAAGATGTTTAGCCATCTTGACACCATTTATCGTAAGAATCAATTGAAAACCCTTTGAATTATTCAGCTAAAACGTGAAAGCTTAAAAACATTTCGGGTCAGCCCTACTGTCTTCCCAACTGACCAATGGTGAGAGGAAAAAGATTATTCAGGCCTTCAGTAATGGTACCAACATTAAAATGATCCTGGAATAAGCCACACTGAAGAGCGGTGATACAGCGAAACAGTGTGTCTGTGGATGTCATATATATATATATATATATATATATATATATATATATATATATATATACATGTGTGTGTGTTACATAGATTATATATATGCGTTTGTGTATCTTATCTGGACGTGTGTCTTCTCTCTTTATTCTGACCAATGAATATCTCTACGCGCATTGATATCGAAAAGAAGCGTGTTTCTACATGATCAACTTGCGAAGTTCGTAGATAACCTTCCGCCCTCAATATGCCCGCAATAACCTTCCGTCTTTGCCCAACCCTCTGTCCCCGGTGTTCACTCTTCACCGTGTTTCTGTTGAATACTTTCGAAAGACAAACTTACATCTTTCGTCAGTCGTCGGATCGAAGAGACCAAATTAAAGAGAGAGAAATCGAACGCAATCGAATGATCGGTGTCACTTTTTTGATAACGTCTCCTTGAAAGCCACACAAAGAGAAGTTACGGTCTACGATCGGCAAATGGAAGTGAAGGACGCGGGAACAGGTGGTAGAATATTAGTCAGGCCCAAAAAAAGGGTATTTAAGAAAGAGAAGATTCGTTCGTTATTTTGTTTTACGGCATATCCAAGCTGATAGCAACTGGTGGCCCCAAGCAGTCACCCATCTAGGTACTGACCATACTTGACGTTGCTTAACTTCGGTGATCGTGTGAGAACATCAGTTTCAACGTCATATGGCCGTAAGCCATTTCTACCCGCACATCAAACTTACAGCACCTGGTAGTCCCAAGATGGTAACCCATATAGGTATTGACCAGGCTTGATGTTGCTTAACTTCGGTGACCGTGTGAGAACATAAGTTTCAACGTGATATGGTCGTAAGCCATTTCTACCCGGATATCAAAACTTACAGCACCTGGTAGTTCCAAGATGGTCACCCATACAGGTATTTTGTTTTACGGCATATCCAAGCTGATAGCAACTGGTGGCCCCAAGCAGTCACCCATCTAGGTACTGACCATACTTGACGTTGCTTAACTTCGGTGATCGTGTGAGAACATCAGTTTCAACGTCATATGGCCGTAAGCCATTTCTAACCGCACTTCCACACTTACAGCATCTGGTAGTCCCAAGTCGTCACCCATGTAGGTTTTGACCAGACTTGATGTTGCTTAACTTCGGTGATCGTGTGAGAACATTACAACGTAACAAAGTTACAACGTGATATGGCCGTAAGCCGTTTCTAACCGCACATCCAAACTTACAGCACCTGGTAGTCCCAAGTGGTCACCCATGTAGGTTTTGACCAGACTTGACCTTGCTTAACATCGGTGATCGTGTGAGAACATCAGTTTCAACGTGATATGGCAGTAAGCCATTTCTACCCGCACATCCAAACTTACAGGTACTGACCAGGATCAACATTGCTTAACTTCAGTTATCGTACGAGAACCTATGGTGGAAAGGTTTGGTTTTACAGCATATCAACCCCGCAATGGTTTATTTAATGCCGACAACATATTTATTGCTGACAATATTTTTTTCAGAAATATATGTCTGGTAATTTTTTTTCTTCAGAACTGTATTGCTGGTAATAATTGCAAAAATGTATTACTGGTAATACTTTTCTTTCTTCAAAAATATATTGCTGGTAATTTTTTAAAAATGTATGGCTGGTAATAATTTTTTTTTTACAAAAATTTATTGGTGGTAATAATTTAAAAAAAAAAAAATTTCTAGCATTAAAACCTATTTTTACACTTTCACAGTGCTTTGACCGCAGTTCGGGGGTCAACTATTTTCCCATGACTGGAAACGTAACAGGTGCTACCTCCCCGAGTCTGAGTGGACCTGATAATACCACCAATCAAGAAGTGGTCCCACGCTCCTCGAAGCTTCCTGATCAGAGGCCTTATAAATCTATATATATATATATCTGTGTGTTTTGTACAACATCGATTAATTGATTGATTTGCAGGTGATTTAAGGCCCTAAAATATTTTTTAGATTCAAATGATACAAGTCTTACAGATAAATCCATAGCTGAGGGGAGAAAACGTAGATTCATACCTTTCCCAGGGATATTTACGCGTAAGGGAATATGACAAACCCAACAGGAATTAGAACTCGACTCTCCAATTCCCAATTCCGCTCTGTTATCCATTACAACACCCGCACATCCAAGTTTATAGCACCTGGTATTCCCAAACGATCACCCATCTAGCTGCTGACCAGGACCAACGTTGCTTAACTTCGGTGATCATACGGGAATTGATGTTTCAACGTAACGTGATCGCACAACCTATATATCTCTTAAGCATCCAAGCTTATATCACCTGGTAGTCCCCAGTGGCCACTCATCTAGTTGCTGACCCGGATCAACGTTGCTTAACTTCGGTGATCATACGGGAATTGATGTTTCAACGTAACGTAGCCGCACATCCTTTATATCTCTTAAGCATCCAAGCTTAGAGCACCTGGTATTCCCCAGTGGTGACTCATCTAGGTGCTGACGAGGCTCGACGTTGCTTAACTTCGGAGGTCGTACTGAATCGGTATTTCAACGTGATATGCAGGTAATCCTGGAATTATACTATAGGCACTGTAGCCAGAAATAAACATGCATTTCATTTTGTTTATATATGAGCTTTTTTAATTGATAGACGGTTTCAACTTGTAAATATTCAACTATGTAAATTGCTTACACTACGGAAGCCAAAACAAATACTGCCACACGGCATTATTTCTTAAATTTAGATATTTTTTTTTATTCAGTCGAGCTAACTCGGACAATCATGAGTCTGTCACGCCAACCATCACGACCTGCATCATTGTCGAAAGGTTATTAGGGTGGCAACCTGTGTCATAACATATCTGATCAATGTAGGTCGTAACTAGGCGAACAATACGTTTTCAAAAAGAAAACAGTTGAATCCGTCAACACAACAATACAAACAATATTTGTACACGTGAAAATATTCCCTTCAAACATTAACTAATTGACATCATTTTTCAGTTGGCCATATGAATATATAATAGCGTTTTAAAATATTTTTAAATATATTCATAATAAAAATCTTAGACGCATTTATGAGGCAGGCATAATATCTATCTCACGCGCGGTGAATACTAGACCCGGCTTCTTTAAAATTTCCCCTTTTCTAGCAAGATTAATGCTCGACAAACGTACATATAAGTTTTAGATTAAAATAAAATTCTTTTCATTTTTCATTCAAAATACTCTATTTTAGGAATACGTTTTCACAACATCGCCCACGTGACGACGACGTGATCATATTGAAACGGAACGCTGATCTTGAAAAATTTCAGTCATCTGTTTTGATTAGTCTTACTCTTATGTCCATCGTCATTTCATGTTGAATTAAATATAGTCTAATGTTAATTATGTTTTTGAATATGTCCTGAAGATGGTCTACTAGATAGAAACGTCCGACGTTGACATTATACTAATATTAAAACAGCATAATTGCATATTAGGATTTTTGTTTGTTTTTTCCTTATATTTTTCTTCCTAATAGCATTTCTAAATTCTTCGAGTTTTTAATGACATTTTGTTTATACTGTGTTTCAATAAATTCATTTCGTTTTTTTTTGTCTTGAAAAAGTCCACATTAGATGAAACGCATCGGTTAAAACTACAGTTTACCTATTGTCTTTTCCTTAATACATATTGCCTTTTTCTACAGGTTAATTTTGAAAAATATATATATATATATATATATATATATATATATATATATATATTGCAATACATTTCAAGATATTCTGCCATTGCTACCAATGAATTCTCAGTTCCAGTTTATCTTTCCCTTTGTCAAAAAGATTCCAAAGAAAGAAAGAAAGAAAGAAAGAAAGAAAGAAAATTAAAGAAAGAACGGGAAGTGAAAAGAAAGATAGAAAGAAAAAAAAATGAAAGAATGACGTCAAAGAAAGACGCATAACAGAAGGCGAGTAGTTAAAGAAAGAAAGAAAGAAAGAAAGAAAAAAAAAGAAAGATACTCAGCAGAAAATGGGAAATGAAAAGAAAGAAAGAAAGAAAGACAGCATAAAGCGAAAGACAAAAATTCTGTAAACAAAAATGAGTAGAAAGCGGGAAATGTAAAGAAAGAACTTAATAAACGCAAAAGAGAAAAAAAATTAATGAATAAAAACGCGTTAAATGATAAGAGAGAATGGAAATTAATGAAGAAGAAACGGGAAAGAAAAGAAAGAAAAAATAAAGGAAAGAAAAAATGTAAGAAAATTAAAAGCGGAAAATGAACGGGTAGAAAATAACGCGTTATAGAAGGCGAGTAGTTAAAGAAAGAAAAAAAAATTAACATGAAGTGGGAAATGAAAAGAAAGAAAGAAAGAAACTGAACAGAAAGTGAGAAATGAAAAGAAAGAAAAAAAGAAAAAGAAAAAAAAGAAAGTTAACAGAAAGTAGGAAATTGGAATGAGGAAAGAGAAAAGAAAGACAGAAAGGAAGAAAAAATTCAACAGAATTTGGGAAATGAAAAGAAAGAAAGAAAGAAAGAAAGAAAGAAAGACAGCATAAACGAACGACAGAAAGAAATTCAGAATTGCGAATTGATTAAGGTATTACAAACGTCTATCGAAGCAATATCTAAAAGAAAGAAATAATTAAATCGGGATGTAAATATAGACCGTAAGAGACAGCAGAAGACGTAGGGCAAAAAACAAAAGCCTCAGAGTGCAAGTGAGAAGAAAACGCAATCAGTCGTGGTCGGACACGGGTGAGATCGGCAATAAGCCACGCGAGATCTTACGAGCAGGAGATTGTATTTCGGTCGTATGTGATCCGTACGTACCGGAAGTGGGTCTGGCGATAGATGCGCTGTCGTGACTGGTAATAAAGCCCAAACATTAGTGTAGCGAGAAGATTGTCGGCGGCTTTTATTGGCAACCCAAATGAAACTATGAGGAAGAGAGCGTACATTGCAATAAAAGAAAATTCGTTTGTCGGTTGAAAAGAGAAACGGCATTTGCGCATGCGCTCACCACAACAACAACACAAAAAGAGAAATATATATTGTAGCTTTATTCATAGTCACTTAGCCTGGAACAAGGCCAATGTGAAAGGCGCGTTTGCTGATTCTTGAACTCATGGAACGAGAAATGATCTTTGGTTGAAGTAATCCAAAAAGATCTGTAAGTTCAATATCTGTCCACAGCAGAGGAGAGAAAAAAACTTGGTTAGTTGAGTTACTAAAGGAAATTTACTGAAACTGAGATATCCAAAAAAAAAAAAAAAAAAAAAGTCATGCCACGTGGAATTAGAAAAATCCACCCACGTAGACAAAATAAATGGCTCGGTTCGATATTCCAAATTATATCACCTGAAAAAAGGCCGGAGCTTACAGCGTCCGAAATGTCATGAATATGGCAATAAAGAGGAAGACAACAATCCTAATGATGTAAATAGTGCAAATAGTTACAATAACTTGTACACTTACATACTTTCTTGAAACCGCTACCAAGGAACGCTCTCTGGACTATAAATGCTTTGCGGTAATTTTTATCACTATCTTCTTACTTTTTTCGCTTACACGTCAAAATGTAAGTCTCTTGCGGAAAACGCGTTTCCCATTAGGAAACGTACGAACCAACCAACACACACACTTTCACTTACTTCACATCCTTTGAATATTAAATGTTTTCACGCATAATTATTTTGTTACTTTTATACCTTCCTTGTTAATATATTATCATTTGTTTGCACATATATTGGTTCTAGTTGTTTCTTTGTAGTTTATCATGGTGGACACACAAGTCCGTCATTTTTGTTGGGGGTACTCCAGGAGAAACATGTTGTTCCCAACTGAAATACACGACGTACTACCGCCCGCAAAAACTTCTTCCCCAGGACTGTTAGTTAAACAAAATCCCGAGAGAATGCTCCCCTGGTATCTACAATCTTGGTCTCTTTATGTCCAAGGTCAACCGATATCTAGCCTACAAGTTCTCATAATACACTCTTATTTCCCTCTCGCATAAAATTCCGCTCATTAATCCTCTACCTTGAGTGGCTCTTGGGTTTCTTGTATTTAGTGAACAGTTGAAAAAGTAATCAGAATGGGAATGTGAAATTGCGGTTAAATGTCACAGTTTGACAGAACAAAGCAGTAAGGAATAGCGGTAAATGGCTAGTACAAAGTTGCTCATAAGAACGGCTTTATTCCACACATATGCTAAAATGTGGCACATTGATGATTTACCAATTCAATGTCCCAGGACATTTTGGTTAAATCTCACTATTTTGGAATGGGCTATTTGACGGAATCAAACAGCAATAAACAGTTGCAAATGGCGAATAAAAAGTTGCTCACATGAACGGATTTATTCTACAGATATGTTCGGCTGTGTCTTAGCGTTTCTAGGGGGTTAACAGAGTTAAAATACAGAAAGTTCCTTTTTAACGATTCCAGGCAATTCAGTACACAGGTTCTGTAATTTGGCATATATTAGGTTGAGCCATAACTAGTTTGAGTTTTTCAACATCAAATCTATTCTGCCAAAAATCAAATACAATTACATTTTATTCGGTAGCATTTATATATAATGATATAATTTATAAATACATATGAATAAACATAGATAGATAGATAGATAGATAGATAGATAGAAATAAAGAGACTGAGATAGATAGATAGATAGATAGATAGATAGATAGATAGATAGATAGATAGAATTAAAGAGACTGGGATAGATAGATGGATAGATAGATAGATAGATAGATAGATAGATAGATAGATAGATAGAGATAGAAATAAAGAGACTGTGATAGATAGATAGATAGATAGATAGATAGATAGATAGATAGATAGAAATAAAGAGACTGTGATAGATAGAATGGATAGATAGATAGATAGATAGATAGATAGATATAGATAGAATTAAAGGGAGTCTGGGGATAGATAGATAGATAGATGGATGATAGATAGATATAGATAGATAGATGGATGAAAAAGAGACTGGGATAGATAGATAGATAGATAGATAGATAGATAGATAGATAGATAGATAGATAGATAGATAGAAATAAAGAGACTGGGATAGATAGATAGATAGATAGATAGATAGATAGATAGATAGATAGATAGATGATAGAAATAAAGAGACTGGGATAGATAGATAGATATAGATAGATAGATGGAATTAAAGAGACTGGGGGATAGATAGATGAATGAATAGATAGATAGATAAAGAGAGATAGATAGATAGATAGATAGATAGATAGATTGATAGATAGAAATAAAGAGACTAGATAGATAGATAGATAGATAGATAGATAGATAGATAGATAGATATGAACAGGATGAAATAGATAGATAGATAGATAGATAGATAGATAGATAGATAGATGTAAACAATTTTGGGTTTTGCTCATTAAGTTTAATATCCAAAATATCATCACAAGATTCCAATTTATTCAGTTCTATTTTCACTTATTATAAAGCCATGATTTGTTGCCACTTATCAGACAACTCTTCGACTTCTTTTGAGTAGAATTCCTCCCGATTTGAAAAGATTGCCGACGTACATTTGAATATGGTTTGAATAAGTGAAGGTTTTCTCCATGAACACATTTTTGCAGCGCTTGGAAATTGTGATCATCTGTTCGTGAATGTTCAGGTGAATCTAGTCCGTGGGACAGAAGAGGCCAACTGAGTTCCAACATTTTTCCCTCTGTTATTTTTCTGCATTGTCTTGAATTTGTAAACATTTTTTTTTTACGTGCGCATGTCGCTTTTCTCACTTTTTTTTATGAGCACGTTGCAGCCATTGGACGTATAAATGTGTATTTCCAGACTGCCACATCTATCAGAGAGATGAAATTTAAATTTTTATTATTGCATTATTCCAAAATTTTAACACATCAGCAAATAGCTATTAATATCACCAACTGAACACAAATAGTTATTAAATTAAAAAAAAATAATTAGCAATTAATGTATAATATTATCCGTAACTACATGTACAAGAATGTTGTTTTTGATAAATTTAAAAACTAAACATAAATAAGTAAAAAAAAATATGTATATTGTCAAAAATTCATTTATCCACAATATAGCTATTTCTGCTATGTTATAATGCTTATTACCTAAACAATAATAATACTGAATAAATATTTTTTAAAGATTAAAGTATATTTAATCACATCTCCCTAATAGCTGTCGCGATTTGTTAATCAAGTGTTTTTTGTTTGTTTTTTTTTTTAAGTTGTTTTCCACAACCAGAAATATTTTGTTGTTTTCTACAACCAGAAATATTTTGTTACTTGCTGCAGAAAATGAGTAAAATAATTTGAAAAAAAGTGGGTGGAGTACGAGTAAAGACAGTGGGAAACAATAAGAAACCTAAAACTGATCTACTGTGAGTTTAAACGCAGTTTGTACTAAGATACAAACATATAAATATAAATTAGCCATTTCATAGCTTATTACATATGGCTTAATTATAGCTTAATACAATGGTTCATTGTTTCACGAGATATATTTTCACTAGACCGACTGTAACCCCCACACAAGCAAGTAATTTCACTTATTTTTCTACAGTACAGATATTTGTGTTATGTTATAATTCTTATGACCTAAACAATAATAATACTGAATATTTTTTTTTTCAAATATTAAAGAGTATTTAATCACATCTCTCTAATAGCTATCACAATCAGTTAGTATTTCACCGCTTTTTAAGAGGTTCAAATAAACAATTCCCGGATAATTGTCGCACACAGACACACGACAATAATTTTCTTCAGCTTTTTTTTTTTTTGTGGTCGATTGTCGAGATCTATTTGGTTCAATCTATAGCCTTTTGTATTGAACATTCGGAAATTTTTTCTCACCTGTGATGATATATTTAAGGAAAGGTTAGTAGGATAATAAATACATCATTGGAATTTCTCCCCTGAAACGGAAATTACTTATAACTCAACCTATTTGATTTAGGGGCCATTAATTCTAATATGCTAAGCGACTCGTAGGTCGAAAATGTTTGGGATGACTGATTGATTTAGCTTTTACAGATTATCGACCTTTTGCGGATTATTCAAAGCCAGGAAATGTTTTTAGATTATAAGAATTCTTTTTTATTATTAGTTTTGTGATGTACGGTGGCCGTTAATATTTAAATATAACTCAAGACTTTAATGTTTAGATAAAACAGTAATTACAAACGCAAATAAATACTTAACAAGAACAAAGAAGTAAAAATCAACCAGTCTCTCGATCGGAGATCTTGTTGCTGGATTCACTTTACCCAGGATTAGTGTTAATTATGATTTAGTGATACAAGTCCTAATAATTAACCCATAGGAAGGTGAGAAAAGGGAGATACCGATTTTACCAAGGCTATCTGTGCATAGGGGAATAAAACCAACCCGATTGGAATGGAAAATTGGCTCTCCGATTCCCAGTTCAAAACCGTTATTCATTACGCCATCTACACATCCATGCTTACATCACCTGGTATTCCGAATTGGTCACCAATCTAAGTACTGGCCAGGTTCGACGTTGTTTACCTTAGGTGATCTTATGAGAACTGGTGTGTTATCGAGTTGTGACAATGAGACTAGAAAATGTAATTAAATCAAAAGCTATCCTATGCAGTTCGTGAAAGACATTTTGTAGATAGATAGATAGATATGAACAGGCTGAGATTGATGGATGGATAGGAACAGGCTTAGATAGATAGATAGATAGATAGATAGATAGATAGATAGATAGATAGATAGATATGAACAGGCTGCGGTAGATGGATGGATATGAATAGGCTTAGATAGATAGATAGATAGATAGATAGATAGATATGAACAGGCTGCGGTAGATGGATGGATATGAATAGGCTTAGATAGATAGATAGATAGATAGATAGATAGATATGAACAGATTGAGATAGATGGATAGATATGAACGTGCTTAGATAGATAGATAGATAGATAGATAGATAGATAGATAGGACATGAACAGAATGAGATAGATAGATAGATAGATAGATAGATAGATTTGAACAGACTGAGATAGATAGATAGATTTGAACAGACTGAGATAGATAGATAGATAGATAGATAGATAGATAGATGGATAGATATGAACATGCTTAGATAGATAGATAGATAGATAGATAGATATGAACAGATTGAGATAGATAGATAGATATGAACAGATTGAGATAGATAGATAGATAGATAGATAGATAGATAGATAGATAGATATGAACAGACTGAGATAGATAGATAGATAGATAGATAGATAGATAGATAGATAGATATGAACAGACTTAGATAGATAGATAGATAGATAGATAGATAGATAGGATATGAACAGACTGAGATAGATAGATAGATAGATAGATAGATAATCTATGTGTGTGTGTGTGTGTGAGAGAGAGAGAGAGTGAGTTGGGGTGGTGTTAAAGAAGAAATTACAAATTACCTTTATAAAATGTGCGTCTAATTTGCTGATAAAAGAAAGGGAAAAATTTATCGAGATGGAATGGGATGGTGTGTAAATTTGATAATACTTCGAATTATTCTTTCATATTCCTTTCAAAACTACAAACTAAAGCTATTTATACAAATTAATTAAATCCATAAGCTGATTAAAATAAATTTGATTTGTTTTTAGGAAATCTGTCGTCGTATTTATTTTATTAAAAACCCAATTACATTGTTCGTTTTCTATTGAGTCATATTTATGTAACAAGAGAGATGGGAAAGTGAATGCATTTGTTTGCAAATGCTTAACTTAGTCTGGCATAGGGCGAAGGTAAGAGAGCGATTTCCAGTAGACGGATTTATCTTTCGTTGTACGGCAGATGACCTATCCCCAACACTGAATGACAAAATTCAGTTACCAAATCATTTTGCCTGGCTTTTTATATATTTACCGTAATTTCTCGAAAATAATACGCGTTTATTTTACTGTAAATTACAGGTGATAGTAGGGTTGCGTATTATAAATAGGTTTAAACAAAAATATTGTTTTCGTTATTGATTTATAATAATAAATACGTATTTGTTGTTCTAAAATAAACATATTATCCCAATTTTCATTTTAAATCCAACAATAATAGTTGTAATATTAGGTTGGTACAAAAATAATGACGTAATAATGTCGTTTTTTGTCGTATTTTTTAACGTCAAAAAACGACATTCTTACGTCATTGTTTTTGCACCAACCTAATATTTTTAGTCAATAAATTTATGTTTATCAGTAACTGCATTATTTATTTGGGGAAAAAATAAAAAAAATCTATAAAAAGGCCAATTTCGAAGAACTTATGGAACATCCACTTGATCGTCTTTCTTTCATAAATTCAACTAAACTTTGTACCATATCTGGATATTGAGCTTTTCTTCCTCTACCTATAGCTTTGGTATTTGATTTACACTTCATTAGTTCATTTTTATTCTTTCTCCATGAACATATGTTAGCCTCATTCAACTCATATTCTCTAGCTGCAGCTCTGTTTCCTATTCTTTCTGCTAATTCTGTTACATTTTGGTTAAAATTTGCACTATAACGTGCACGTTTTGACAACATTTTGGCGGTAAAATAAAATGTTATATTTATCGGGAAAGCCGCATGATTATTTTCAACACTATCTTAGTCGCTTAGTTTCGATTTTATTTTTAATGACAAAATGTTTTCGTAATTATCTTTTTTGACAAAATTTATAGATGCGTATTATACATAGGGATAGATATATTTCTTAAATTTTGGGATTATTTGTTGGGGTACGTATTATTTATGGGTGCGTATTATTTTCGAGAAATTACGGTAAGTTAGTTTTCCAGAAAAAAATGGTGTATTTCTTCAAAAAAGACGGAATAAAATTGAGTTAAATTATGACCTTTTGAAATTATTATTTTTTTTTTTTAATGATTGATTTGTTTTCAACAGTTTATCAAGCCTTTGCAGGTTATTTAAAACCAGGAAATATTTTTAGAGTGTAAGATTTTTTTTCTTTCTTTTTAGATAATAATGGTTGAGTGATAACGAGTTTTACTAATTAACCCTTAACTGGGAAGCGATAGATACGTACCTAATCATAATTTGATAACAAACAAGAAATTATAATGTGGACATAAAGTAGGGGATTAATTCCGCATTACAATCAATTTGTAAACTGATCCCTCATTTTGTGACCATTGTCGTTTCTCTACATTTATATTTCGGAGAATGTAAATAAATCTACAAGACATGCATGTGTTGGTAATTAGTATATCATTGACTGATTGATTCGTTTTCTGCGGATTAGCAACTCTTTTTAGATAATAATGGTTTAGTGATATTAAGTCGTATTAATTAATCCATAGTTAGAGACAGAAGATTAATGGTATTTTCGCGTGATTATAACGAACGCAATTGGAATTGGATGTCAGCTTTCTGATTAACAATTCCATTATGCCTTACACCAGACAATTCCATTATGCCTTACACCAGACAATTCCATTATGCCTTACACCAGACAATTCCATTATGCCTTACACCAAGCTTACAGCACCCGGTATTCCCAAGAGATTACTCATCCAGGCTTGATGTTGCTTAACTTCAGGGTACCAGTGTTTTAACGTGATATAGATATAAGCCCTTGAAATTGTTAGAAGCACTGATCAGACAAGAGTTCCATGGAGCGAAAGAAGTACAAAACAAAAAAAAAAAAGAAAATAATAATTCAGCCCGGAGAATAAGTGAAAAGTTCTTATTCTAACTGCTTGACCAACTTGTTGCATCTTATTTGAAACATGTGGTGTTGCATTGTATTTGATTAACATCGATGGTCATCTTCCTTGCCCGCCAAAAGCTTAAAGTTGAAAGATTGCATTTGTACCTAGTAATTAAATCGATATAAATGGTTGACGAACAGAATAGGGATAGATATATACATAGGGATAGATATATTTCTTAATTTTGGGATCATTTGTTGAAGTGCGTATTATTAACGAGAAATTACGTTAAGTTAGTCTATATTTCTAAGATGAGGTATTATATACATTATTTACATTATTCGGACTATTGTCCTCATCATTGTCGCATTTATCACAACGTTTCATCCATTGTACGCTCCGGCCTTCTTCAAGTGGTTGGAATGTCGAACTGAACCCTTTATTTCGCTCACTGGGGTAGACTGTTCTAGTTCCACGTGCCATGTTTTGATGGATGCCAGTTAGCAGTTATCTCCTGTTAATTTTCCCTCTGAAGGTTCTCCACTGACTAGAGGGCACATGGCACAGTGGATAAAGGCGTTGGTTAGATTCAGTGACAGGACCCAAAGTGTGTAAGTTCAATACCCGGTTAAGGCAGTGGAGAACTTTCAGAGGGAAAATTAACAGGAGATAACTGCTAACTGACATCCATCAAAACATGGCACGTGGAACTAGAACAGTCTACCCCAGTCAGCGAAATAAAGGGTTCAGTTCGACATTCCAACCACCTGAAGAAGGCCGGAGCGTACAACGGCCGAAACGTTGTGATAAACGTTCTTTTTATAGATACAAGTATTTAAGTAAATGTTCTGTTTATAATAAACAGTATTAAATAACATTTACTGTTAAACATAAAAATGTCTTTAATAAATAAATTGTCGGACTTTGTCCATTTCTTAATATATGACGTCATTTGTTTACATTTGATACGCCATGTGCAGTTATGAATGTACGAGATTCATGGAAGATTGAAGTTTATAAGCAGTAAATTCGACCTTGTCTACTGAAAGGTTCTTTGTGGCCGAGCGATCAAGGCACGTCAGCGTAAATGACGGTTCCGTATAGGATGCAGGTTCGAATCCTGTCAAAGGACGAATATTTTCTATGAAAATTTCTCGGACATTCAGGCCGGTAAATGTTATTTAATACTGTTTATTATAAACAGAGCATTTACTTAAATACTTGTATCTATAAAAAAAAATGTTAAACATAAAAATGTCTTTAATAAATAAATTGTCGGACTTTGTCCATTTCTTAATATATATATATATATATATATATATATATATATATATATACTGTGAGTATTTCAGTAAGTATGTTGGCAGGATATATTAATGTCCTGGGTCAAGAAAGTAGCTGGTGGAAGACCTTATGTCTGGCAACAGGACTCTGCTCCGTGCTACACAAGCAAGAGTACCTCGTTATGGCCGTCAGACAATTTCTTCGACTACATTATCCTTACATCTAACTCCACAGACTGCAACCCCCTTGATTATTATGCGTGGGGCGCAGTTGAGCGAGAGAGCAAAAAAAAAAAAAACTCTTTGAAACACCCAAGATAAACTGAAGACAAGGATTATGAAAGCATTCATTAACTTAAACAAGGAGACGGTTCAGAAGAGTTGCAGGGGATTCCCAAGTCATCTGGAGGCCGTGGTTGAAGCCAATGGCGATTTTATCGAAGAAGTTTACTCTTTAGTATTTCAAGATATTTTTGTGTAATTTTGATAAATATATCTGCTAAAATGAGATATCAAGTGTTATTCTCATTTTTGCCGAATTTAGTTGACATTTTATCCATCGCACCTTATATATATATATATATATATATATATATATGTGTGTGTGTGTGTGTGTGTGTGTGTGTGTGTGTGTGTGTGTGTGTGGTAGAGGGTTGCAGGAATTTTTGTCTACCTCGGTGTGTATATCAGCGAATAAATTTCAATCAAAAATGTAATAATGAATCAAATTCGGCGACGAATGCAGACAGAAAATTAAGCGAAAATGGTGGGAATATATAGCAGTAGGGCGGTGGGTGGGGAAGGGAGGAGGAGGAGGAGTAACTCTGGGCAAGAATCGGATTGGGATACGCAGCTGAAAAGGTTCAGTGGAAAAGCCGAGGGCGGTGGGGTTGAGGCAAGGTGGAGGAAATGGTGTAAAACTCAGAAAATGGATGAGTCGGAAAAGCGGAGACGACAGATTAATAGGAATTTATTAAATAAGCTTCGTAAAAGTGGAAGACGGAACATGGCTGAGGTAAGGTGGTTAGAAGCAGGGAAGTTTAAGGAAACATTAAAGAAAAAGAAAGAATGAATGAAAGAAAGAATGAATGAAAGAAAGAATGAATGAAAGAATTGGTTTCTAGAAAGAAAGAAAGAAAGAAAGAAAGAAAGAAAGAAAGAAAGAAAGAATGGGATTCTAGTAAGAAAGAAAGAAGAATAAAATATGCAAATGAAGGAATGGTATTCTAGAAAGAAAGAAAGAAAGAAAGAAAGAAAGAAAGAAAGAAATATGCAAATGAAGGAATGGTATTCTAATAAGAAAGTAGGAAAGAAACAAACAAACAAACACGCAAACAATGAAAGAATATGTTTCTTGTGAGAAAGAAAGAAAGAAATATGCAAATGAAGGAAAGGTATTCTAATAAGAAAGGAAGAAACAAACAAACAAACAATGAAAAAAATATGTTTCTTGTAAGAAAGAAAGATGCAAAGGAAGGAATGGGATTCAAATAAGGAAGAAAGAATGAAAGAGTGAAAGAATGAGTTTCTACTAATAAAGAAAGAAAGAATGATAGAAATGAATAAATAGAATTCGAATACGAAAAAGGAACGAAAAAAAGAAAGAAAGAGGGAGAAAAAAGAAAGAAAGAAAGAGAAAAAAGAAAGAAAGACAGAAAGAAAGGGGTGTGTAGGTAACATCTTTAAATGCTAATCTACAAATTATTTCTTATTTTCCCTATTTTTATGAGTTGACCTGTTAGGTAGTGCCGAAAATGAGAAGATAAATAAATATATATCGTCCTTGCCAGAGAAATGAAGACATAGTTGGTCATAACTGTTGTCAATCGGAAAAATAAGGAAAAATATGAACTTATGAGATGTTAGAAACGTTGCAAAAATTCAAACGACAGTATTGATGAAAACATCGAGACCTGTTGCGTTTCGTATCCTCTTTGGTTTCAGTAATTAAGACTCTAACACTAAACAATGGTCGGCTCTTTGCATTGTTCTAGTAAGTATATCACTCCGTCCACTGTTAAACTCTATCTTTACAAGAGCCAGAGCAGACCCCAAAATAAACTATTGCTACTATATCTGGGCTGTAGCTCCTTCGTTATCATTCGCCTGTCTTGATATTCAAAAGCGTCTACGCGGCCTTTTAGGTAATGAATTATTTTCCAACCCACAACCCCTTTCCCACAGATGAAATATCACAAGCCTCTCACTACTCTATCGCTATTGACGAGCCACATTCATTGTTTCTACCAGCCTTGACCAACTGGGGCCCGTCATGCCACGTACACGAAACATCCTCATTTCCTTTTTTCTAGTAGTAAAACTTAAGTTCCACACGAAGAGTTTATTCCCAAGAAAAGTTATGCTACGAAGCAGACACTACAATACTAACCTCTTCAAGTTTAGTGTTAATTTTTATTAGGTTGGTGCAAAAATAATAACGTAAGAATGTCGTTTGTTGACGTAGAAAAGTACGTTAAAAAACGACATTATTACGTCATTATTTTGCACCAACCTAATATCTTTGCTACATAAACTCATACTGCAATACTCGCCTCTCGCAATACCATAACGCTCTGCTTTGAGTGACTCTTGAGCTCGTATTGCCTGAACGGTGTATAAAAGAAAACCATAAACTGTATCTGTCTATATTTCTGAGATGAGGTATTATGTACACTATTTACATTATTCGGACTATTGTCCTCATCTTTGTCGCCATACTTATTACAACGTTTCGGCCGTTGTACGCTCCGGCCTTCTTCAATTGGTTGGAATGTCGAACTGAACCCTTTATTTCGCTCACTGGGGTAGACTGTTCTAGTTCCACGTGCCATATTTAATAGATGTTAGTTATCAGTTATCTCCTGTTAATTCCCCTTTAGAAGTTCTCCACTGCCACATGGCACAGTGGATAAAGGCGTTGGTTAGATCCAGTGACAGGACCCAAAGAGTGTGAGTTCAATACCCGGTTAAGGCAGTGGAGAACTTTTAGAGGGGAATTAACAGGAGATAACTGATAACTGACATCCATTAAACATGGCACGTGGAACTAGAACAGTCTACCCCAGTGAGCGAAATAAAGGGTTCAGTTCGACATTCCAACCACCTGAAGAAGGTCGGAGCGTACAACGGCCGAAACGTTGTAACAAATATGGCAACAAAGATGGGGACAATAGTCCGAATAATATAAATAGTGACCATAGACTGTATCAATAATTATTTTTTTTATCTTATCTCCTTATAATATTTTTTCCGGAAGGAATCGAGATGAATGAGCTAGGGCAACATCCGGAAGTTCTACCTTGAATCAGAAAAGAATCTGGATGCTGTTGGTGTGTTAACTCTTCAAATTCTTGCAGCTGTCTCCGTGCCTTTGTAGTTTTTTGGGGGTCTTTTATTAATAACTGGAACAAAGGTAATCCACTACTGTCATAATTCTACGAACACTTTCTTCTGATCAATAGTTTGACATACTTGGGCTGTCTACACATTCCGTAGAAAAAATATTAGGTTGGTGCAAATATAATGACGTAATAATGTCGTTTTGTGACGTATTTTTTAACGTCAAAAACGACATCATTACGTCATTATTTTTGCACCAACCTAATACTAAAATACCGACGTAATAAATAGACTTGATGCCACTTGATCCACAGTGTTAGCCAATATTTACCATTATTTTAAACACTGGGTGTGAAAATAAATTTTAATAGTAGTACTCCTAAAAGTCAGTTATGTGCCATGCTTGATACACGCTTAGGCGATCATGTATCTTTCGATACATGACTGACGAGGCAGATTTTTTTTCCCGCAGTAGGTTGCCAATTCTTTCTGGGTTAGACCAGTTGCAATCCGAGGCTATAAAACCCGATCTGTCCTGCTATTTACCCATAGTTGGGTGAGGAGAGAAGAAGAGGATTCATGCCTTCCCCAAGAGAGCCGAGTTCGAATTCCAGTCGAATCCATTACATTCACTTACGTGCTAATACCCTTGGGAAAGGTATGAATCCTCTTCTTAATGATTTTGTAAGCTATGTCTAGCCGTAAAATTTCCTCTATTGCATCGGTAAATATTTTGAGCTTAACAATTTTAATAACACGTTGGATTAATAATCATGAATGCGAAAGTTTTCAAATTGAGAAGGTTTTTCATTTCGGGGAAGTAGACATTAAACACATGAGAGCGTCATCGCCCACTCGATCTTCATACCCATTGTTTGTTTATTTCTTTTTTCAAATGAAACCAAAAAAGCATATCTGATATGTCGTTTCCGTCTTTTCTCGTGTCCAAAATGAAATAATTCCTAATTTGTGAGGATTTGACAAGGTGTTTCTTTATTTTTCTAACAGAAACCAAACAGTGTCTCTGTTTGTCTATATTTCTGAGATGAGGTATTGCTAATGATGTCTCCCAGTTTTCTTGTATAATCTGATCTATCCATCGCTACAGTCGCATTACCTTTGTTTACAACACCGAGCAAAAGTCATAAGTGGCGATCCTGAGACGTTAGATAAAGAATTGGTCAGTATAAGTAGTACCCTACAACGTAACAACTACCCTGGGTACATGGCAGCAGCCCCAAAAACTGGGATAGGCGGATACAAGAGGAGGAGGACAACATCACTCAGAAAACAGTCTGCATGCGTTATGTGAAGGGGTTATCAGAGAAAATACAAAGGATCTGCGGTCCATATAACATCAAGACAACCTTCAAAAGCTGGACGACACTTCGCAGATATCTCTCCCGAGTAAGACCCCCCATAGAGGAGAACATGAGTAAAGACTGTGTGTACGCTATCCCGTGCAGCTGCGGAAAGGAATATAAAGGAGAGACAGGCCGCCTCCTCAAGAACACCAGAAAGCTGTAACAGGAGGGGAAGTAGAAAAATAAGGCGTGGCTGATCACATATGGAGAGAGAAGGGAGATCACCGCCCTCTGTGGGATCAGGTTGAGATCATTGACAAGGAACACCACTGGAAAATTCGGAAACTTAAGGAATCGTCACATATGCTAGGCCAAGCATAGAAATAAATACAATATGGGAACCAGTAATAAGGAGTGCCAGAGAAAAGCAATGATAACAACATAGTTGCAATATGAGCTCTGGTAAAAACATGCAATGATAACAGCAAAAATTGCAATATGACCACTGATAAAAATGGTTGCTGAAGACATTAGGTTTATAATACCCAGAAATTCATACCCAGATGGTTTTACCAGATGTCCTCAAGGGCACATGGCACAGTGGATAAAGGCGTTGGTTAGATCCAGTGACAGGACCCAAAGAGTGTGAGTTCAATACCCGGTTAAGGCAGTGGAGAACTTTTAGAGGGGAATTAACAGGAGATAACTGATAACTGACATCCATTAAACATGGCACGTGGAACTAGAACAGTCTACCCCAGTGAGCGAAATAAAGGGTTCAGTTCGACATTCCAACCACCTGAAGAAGGCCGGGGCGTACAACGGCCGAAACGTTGTGATTAATATGGCGACAAAGATCAGGACAATAGTTCGAATAATGTAAATAAGTGTCTCTGTTATGTCTTTTTTCCGTCTTTTCTCGTGTCCAAAGTAGAATAGTTCATTATTTGTAAGGTATTAGCAAGACGTTTCTTTCTTTTTATAACTGAAATCAAACAGTGTCTCTGATATGCCTTTTTTCGTGTCCAAAGCAGAATAGTCTATTATTTGTGAGGTATTGGAAACGCATTTCTTTTTCTAACTAAAATCAAACAGTGTCACTGATGTGTGTCTTCCTCTTCTTTTCTCGTGTCCAAAGCTGAATAGTTTATTATTTGTATTATTTTTGAGTTATTGGCAAGCCGTTTCTTTTTGCGTACAAAAACGCGGCAGCGTCTCTGGTATGTTCTTTCTCTCTTCACTCTTGATCAAAACGGAATAGTCCATTATTGTATGAAGTATCGGCGTGGCGTAACGCACTTGCTAACTAAAGAACAAGCCTAATATTATTATTATTATTATTATTATTATTATTATTATTATTATTATAAACGTTTGTGTTATTGCTATTACATATAGCTTGTTAGAATTGTTATTAATCGATATCGGTGACTGTTGATGGCGAGCAGTAATTAATCATTACATCAACATGTTTTAATCGAGGCTTCGTCTCGTGGCACGGATCAATTTGCTAAATGGAAAAAGCTAATTAACTTTAAGACATCGGAGATTCCGATTGCGATCTCCATGGCAACAGGGTGAAACGAAAGAGGGTCGGAGAAAATGAATCAAGAGCTGGGGTAAAAGTATGGATACGAGGAGACTTTGGGAGGTGCGAATGTTACTAAATTACCTAGCCAGGCGGTATTCGATTTGAAATCAGTGACTTTGAAATCAGGTGCCAGGTATTCCGAGTTAATATCAGTAACATTGTGGGTCGCATCGTTTGATGATTTAGTTCAATATATTTGCTATTTAGAAAGTTAATGACCCATTTTATTATTGTACATTAAAGACATGTTTCACTACAATATCTATTCTATGATGTCAAAATAGAATGTGACATTATATATATATATATATATATATATATATATATACGTAAGTATGTATTGGCCACGCATTCTTATCTACTCTGTTTGCCCGTTTAATGTGGGTAAAATACAACGACTACATCTTCTGCAGAGCTGTTAGGATCCCCAGAAACCTAATGGGTTG